CCCTCTCCACCCTGCTCCTACCCTAGTTTAGGTCATCACTCCCACTCCTTTCTGGGTTTGGTTTTCTTGTTCTGTACAAATAGGAGATCCACGTAAACAGTATATTACTATTTCTCATTGCCTGCATGAAAGGGTGGCATGCAACAGATACTCATTTGTACCTCTCTTTTTCACTTACCAACATAGCCTGCAAACCACGCTCGCGAGAGGGCGATGCATTGTGCATGGTAATTCTATTTGGACAGAAAAGGCAATGAAATACGTTCCGCTCTTACTGTCTTGCATACAGACAATCCCAGAGGGCACTTCACAAATTGACAGTCAATAAACCACTCCACCCAGGGGAGAAATAGAGGAAATTCCAAGACGAAATGTTAATATCCACGACACAGAGGCCTCGTGATAAAAAATAAAGAAAAGAAATATTCCAGCTGATGAAATTGGGAATTTAGCAAAGAAAGAATTCTGGGGATAAGTCTAGTTCTAGGATGATAGAAACCAAGATCTACATTGTTAAAAGGCAAATTCAGGAACTCTTCAGAGAATAACACAGGTCTTCTCTGTTATACAGGATTTGGCACATGGCATATGATCAATGGGAAATGGATTTGAAAAAGGAAAGTGTATTAAGCTGAGTGCTGTTCCTCAAATAAATTAAATGGATGAATCTGTGTCTGTCCTGGCATTTATCAAACCAGTTTAAATTTGGGGAGCCCGAAGAACCACCAGACCTGATACTGTGGCAGATACTATTTTGGATGTATGTATGATGCCATCATTTTATTGTCCCTTTTGGTTTACAATTTTTTTTCTGGAATTGCCACTGTTTCTAACTGGAGTTATTAGTTTCCCTTAAAAAATTTCTTAACTAACAAGCCATCCTGCTTTATCCCCCTGCAGATATCTGACACAACACATGGTCACATTTCTGGTGGCAAAATGCTGGTGTTTTAAGTCAGTATGCTGCAGCTCAAGGTCATATATTTAAGGTAGAACAATATTAATTTTCAGAAAATTTTAGGATAAACTTGAGTAAGGAGACTTAGGCACAATGAAGTGCTTTCAACTCATGGGCTCAGAGCTTACAGTTAAGCATTCATACATACATACATACATGAAAACAGACATGGAAAATAATTTATGCTAAACAGCAAAAAATATAAACAGCTTAGAACCAACATAGGTCTCTGATGCCTTTATAAGATGTACTTAAAATTCTGATGTTTCTAGTAACTGCAATGGCATTGCAGAGAAAATGCTGCCAAGAGACACCTAATCGATTTAGTAGCATCTCCCTCATCATTACCCGGGGGGTTAGGAGTGGTCTCCTTGACACGATAGAGTTTTGGAGGGCCTGAGAATGGCCCCATTTCTCTATGATCATGTTCATCATAATTCCCAGTTTTCCCATAATTCTACAACTTGAAATGAAAGCCCAGTTACAACACTGCTTTTATAAATTGATGGTGGAAGTAGTTTTTTTTTTAAGGCGCTTGCCTTCTTGTCTTTTCCCACTAGTTGCCTAACTTAATTTCTTGATTAGTGTTGCCTCTCAGCTCTACTTCACTGACGTTTGAGGAAGTTCCATGTTCTGTTCCCATAAGTACCAAAAAGTATCCCCGTGCTTTCAAAGCAGTTGTTGGGAAGGCTGCCCGACGTGTCCTGACCACCAGGGGACAGCCGGGAGCCGGATTATTTGATTCGTCCCAGAGGACTTCAGACTCTTGATGGCGCGGTGCTGGTGCTGCCCTCACCTCGGGCCTCCCCATCCAGGGCGTGAGCTGGCCGAGCACTACTGCCGTTCCAGTCGGTCGCCTGCTATGCGTGGTCCTGGCGCTGCCTGTCATGCCTCACCTCACCCCGTGCCTCCTGGCTCCTGCGCTCTGGCCTTTCTCAGTATCGTGAACAATCTAGGCTCCCACCTGCTATGAGGTCTTTGCACATCTGTTCCCTCTGCCTGGAATGCTGTCCCCCCCTTTTTCACCTACTTATTTCTCCTTCTCGAGCATCTCTGTTCCTTAGGGAAGCCTGCCCTGATCTGCCATTTCCTGCCCTTATCACACTCTTGGTATGATTATTTGCATGATTACATGTATGATTACTACTGGTAACCCTAGTTACACAGCCTTGGGGGCTGAGGGCTGGGGTGTTACTCTGGAAGGCCCTGAGCCCTCTCTGGGTAGACGCACATCCACACCCAAACTCATAAGAAACTCATGGGCTGACCTAGGATGTCCTACAGTGAGAACTGTGACCATCAGCAGTTTCTTCAGCAACCATGAAGGTTAAAGTGGGAGCTTGAGGCCAATGCATCAGCTCCCATTTGCTCTTCAACTTTTGTTTTCCCTAAAATCAGTAATTCTCTCCCCCCCCCCCCATCCCCCTTTTACTTGCCTTTCTCACTAATCCTTTCCCAAACTCATCTCAGGTTGCCTGCATCTCCTTTCTTAAGTCCTAACATGTTAGGTGCTCATCCTCATGGATTTGTTGGCCAAGCAGCATCTCCCAGAGCCTCTCTCCCTGCTCCCTACGGCTGAGCCACCTCAGTGCCCACCGCACCGCTGAGCTGGGCACCGGTCCTTCTTTGCCACGTGGCCTTTCCTGACGGCAAATGTGCGTAAGCTTTCTCTTCTATGGTCTGATGATGTGATTAACCCCCAAGTGGGTCTGACATTTTCCTGTAGATCTGAAGGCATTGAGGGGATGAGGGATGTGAGACAGCGAGAAAACAGGCTTCTCTGCCTTCTGGGTCATCAAGGGGGGTTGGGGGGCAGCAACAGCCTCATTCAACAGAAGCAAAGGAGGCTCATGGCATGTATGTCCCCATTGCAATTCTTGGGCCCACACATTTCCTCGTCCAGGCCTCGTCAGTGCCCTGCCTTTCACACAGGGATCTGATCATCTGTGAATGTAATGGATTTTACAAGTTGACAACCCACAGGATTTTGAGCCTGACTTCTGGCAACCTCAGTCCCGCGGCTGCATGAGATGCAAATTCTTTTAGCCTCATCACAGAAAGTCCCTTGTTCCCTGCCCTTGCCTTGACCCGGGACTGTAGATTGTGGGCTGCTTGTTCTTTCTCAGAAGGCTGTCCTGGGTGGTTAGAAGTAACCAGCTGACTCACGGTCCTTCCTCATGCCTTCCCTAGGGCTGCAATCCCTCCCCAAACCTTGCCTTCCTCCTAGGGAACCTGTGCTTTGAGAACCTGCCTTGGGCTGCTGAAGCATCACCCGCTCACCCCTCACAAGTCCTCACTACCTTCGGGCTTCACCAGATGAGACAACAAGTCCAGATCCCAGGGTGTCGCTGTCAGTCACCCTGGGTCTAGGACCGATCAGATAGGATTCTCAGCTGCAACAAACCAGAGCCCATGTTGGGTAGTTTAAGCACGAATTCCACGGAGCGGCCTAGAGAACGAGGCCTGACTGTTCCACAGCCAGGAACGGGATCACGGAAGCTCTCTTTTAGGATTTTCTTTCCAATCCCAGGAGAATCCTATCAAATAAAGTCTAAAATGATGTTGACTAGACTTGGAGGCAAAGCAGAGGTTGGGCAGCAGCCCCAGATGGCACAGCCTCGGGGTTCAGCCAGAGCTGGGGATGCCTTGTGATACCCACTCCAGTTGGTCGTGAGCATGGAACGAATGAGCACCATCTCTGGGACAGATGGCTTTGCAGAGAGACAGCTGCCAATCAGGTTGAGGGCGTAGACAGAGAGCTGAGCACGCACGGACACTCATTTTATTACCTAGCACAGTAACCTGATGGGCAGACAGACTTTAAGGACCCGAGGCGATCTGGTGGACTGAAGAACTTCTGATGGAATGAAGGGAGACTTTACTAACGTGACTTTGCTTCCTCTTAATTCTCTACCTTCCAGTTCCTCTGGGTTTGTCCAGGCCTTTTCTGGCTTGGGGAGACAGGTTGGACGGCCTTAGAGAAGCGCATTTCCTTAGCTCTAGCTATGGTGGCAGGTTGTGGTAAGCCAGGAAGCAGCTGGAATTAAAATGCTTCAAATTACTTGCTGGACCACTGTCCTAAGTGTCAGGCTCATCAATGCTCTTTGCTGCAAACAAATCTCTTCCTTTCTAGACCTACAATTTGGAATCTTTTTTGGCTTAGTCATTCATACTCTCCCGGATGTATCTTTATTTCAAAAAATAATTTGCGTGTGTTTCATTGGTATAAAAGGAGACTAAAATTCAGGCTAGTAAACACAAAACAAAAAAGCAAAGCAAAAACACTGACAATCCCACCCACTAAGGACAATCATTTAAAACTCCTTGGTGTGTATCTTTTCATACCCGCTCTATACTGTGTGGTGTGTATGTGTGTGAATTTTAACGATAGGGGAGAAGAAATTTTAATAGGATCATTAAGAACACAATGTTTGGCCTGGCCGGTGTACTCAGTGGTTGAGTGCTGACCTATGGACCAGGAGGTCACGGTTCAATTCCTGGTCAGGGCACATGCCCAGTTTTCCGGCTTGATCCCCAGTGTGTGTGTGTGTGTGTGGGGGGGGGGGGGGGTGAGTGGGGGGGGGTTGGGGGGGTAGGGGGGCATGCAGGAGGCAGCCAATGATGATTCTCTCTCATTATTGATGTTTCTGTCTCTCACCCTCTTCCTTCCTTTCTGAAATCAATAGAAATATATTTAAAAAGACAAAGAACACACTGTTTGCAAATGTGTAAAGGCCAAAAGGCTTCTGGGAAAATGCTCAGTGACTGACTGGTGGATCATGTGGTAGCAGTGTACTAACAATGAGGAATGTATTCTATTTAATCTAGGTACATTTACCTTAAGATCGAGGTCTCAGGTGTGGCCCTGGGCAGGTAGGTGATGCACAAAGAAGGTGAATGGAGGCCAAAGGTCAGGAACAGTTCAGCCACATTAAGTGGGTTATTCAAGAGCAAAGAGATGGACCTCCATATCCCCATCTTCAACATCCTGAAGAGGTCCACGTTCTTCAGTAGCAAAGAAATTGCAGACCGAACTCCTGAATCATTTGCAGCCATTTTTCCTTTTATTCCAAACACGTACTTTTGTAAACCTGCATTTCCCAAACAGTGCAAGTGAATTAGAAGTGACTGCGTAGACTTTAAATACACGTGACTTTGGGAGGAGGAACGCCCCTCCCGCCAAAACTCCTCGACAGAAATGTACATGAAGGTATCAGTCAAGTTCTAGAAGTGAAGTTAGCGTGGGTGCCTGCATGCAATTAATCACTCTTAAAGCCTTGAAACTCACTCTGCCAGTCACACCGTGCACATTAGAATAAAACAACCCCAAACCTTAAACAAAGTCTGAAATCAAGACCACTGTGCTACAAAGCATCGCGCCACGTGGGAAATGCGTTCATTATCCCCGCAAGGGGCTCAAAATCAGAAGACACTCCCTTCGGCCATTCTTTCAGAAAATACACCCCACTGTGTATGTTACCGCTCTGTATCGCAGAACAGAACATTGTCGAAAACCCCGTAGATTGGGGCATTTCCAAAAATGACAAGCGTTTTCTGTCTGCGAAAGGGCCATCTCCCCCCAAATTAGAAGCCTTCCCAGTGCCTGTACTTTAGGGCAGTTTGAGTCAGATGTATGTAGATTTCACCAGATGTATGTTTCATGCCTATCCTACTCAGAACTGCACTCACCTGGGCATCACGCCTTCCCAGAAGTAAAAGTAGTAGAATCACCTCTTACAACATTCCTGCCAGCCATGAACAGGCCGCTTACAAGACACACCTCCCCTGAGGGATCCACTAGGCTTCGTATGGAAAACAGGCCCCTCACGTGTCCGGGAGGCCTGCAGGTTTTCTGTTTTAACCTCGTGGCCTTTGGCTCAAGGACATGATGTGGTGAAGGACTTTCTATTGGATTGCCTACAATGTTTACCAGATTTCAGAATACCCCGGCGGTGGAATTTTCCTGAAGAACTGCCTGGGAAAGCCTCGGTGACCTCCGTGCTAAGTGATTCCAGATGTGTGCCTGTCAGTCATCATGCGGCCAATGGGCCCACTCACTTCTTCTGGCGCCTCCCCGCTCCTGAATTTCGCCGCCTCCTCTTTGCGACAGTCCCGGGCTCACTTTGGGGATGTTCCGAGACTCCTGAGTCCCAGGTAAACGGATCACAAGCAAATTGTTTTTGGAAAGGGGGGTGGGGGGGGCATGCTTTTATTCGGTTTCTTTCTACAAAGGCCCTTTTGCATGTTTAAAAAGCACCTCACTATCCCAATCCTTCTGACAGTTGGTGAAAACAGGGATTTTCAACCTTTTTCATCTTGTGGCACACATAAACTAATTACTAGAATTCTGCAGCACACCAAAACCCATATTATCTTTTCTGCAGAGCTACCAACAATAAAGAAGGCACAATTCGGATTCATTCACCCCAGAAGGCTACTGTGTCGGCTGTTGTCATTTTTTGATTTGACAATCTAAGAAAAAAGAGGCCAGTGCTCCCTGCTGAACAGTCACGTCGTGCATGTTTTAAATATTTTTGAAGGGACACCTGTTGAAAATTGCTGTCTTAGCAGATTCCACAGTGAACCCAACGAAACGGGAAGGGTAGAAATTGGAGTTCACTGTGGAACTGTAAGAGAATATTCTGGAGAAGTAACACAGACACGACAATGAGGAGCCTAGTGAGGGCTCCTGACCTGGGGTGGAGCTGAGAGCGCTAGCCACGTGGGGACTCCTGCCATTGCTGTGCCCCGCCTGCTCCTCAGCGCGACCAGACAAGCAGAGGCACCGTCCCTCCCACACAGGTTCCTGCAGTGGCTGCTGGTCTTGGCTCCTGCTGATGCCGAGTATGATTTTCTTAAAACTGCCTCATGAAGTTTCAGTGACCTCCTGGAGCTGTGACTACTCAGGCGGGTCTGCCATCCAGAAGCAAATGGATCCGGTTCTGACACCGCCCCCAGGAGCCCACCCCGATGGGATTGAGGCTTTTCCCTCTGCCTTCCACACTGTCACCAAATGTGTCTGCAGCCCTTGCAGGAGTGGCTATAAAAGCATTTGGCCAGCCCCCGAGGGAGCCGGTCCAGGACTACCGCCCAAGAATTTTAAGACATTTGTTAAAGGACAACGTGACACAATGAATAAAAGCCCATCAAAGGGAAGCTGTGACTGGGGTTTCATAAAATAAAAAATAAAAAATCCACTCTCTACACTCCATTGCAGGAGGTGTGTCTCCCCGCAGGCAAAAAGTGCCTGTGGTGGTGTTCTCTGGGGAGCTTCCAGAACCTAGCACAGTGCTTGACGCAAAGCAGGGGACCCATAAATATCCTCTAAATGGGCGACTACAACCACTAAAGACTGCTTTTATTACTCTTGATAGAACTCATAGGCAAACTCTGTGCCAGAACTGGTTTCCCTGCCTCCATCTGCCCTGTGGTTACCTCTGTGCCTCCAGCCCTTAGATGCAACATCCCCAACCTCACTCTGGATCAGCCTCCTTCATACATACTCTTGACCCTCTGGCTTTTGCTGCCTGTTCCCCTAGCCATCACGATACAGTCATTGTCTTCCTGCATCAGGGTCGATACGTAAGAAGAAACGAAAAGACACACACATGTCCCAGGCCAGGTTCGTAGCTGCCCAGCACCCAAAGCTTTTGCGATGTTTGCAAGTATTAGCCAACTGTCTAGAAAACCTATCTCCCCTGAAGTTGAGTTGTGTCTTTCCAGTGGTGTCCACAGTCCCCACCATGTTAGCTGCCAGTAGACAAGGTCCTATACGAAAGGTCCTTCATCTTGTTTTTGTCTCATTCCCATCGGGTGCCCATCTGTATGGACTGGGGCTTGAGCAGGAGCCATGAAGGACTCTCAGCCAGACCCTGCTCTGAGCACATGTTTTCTCTCTCATCAGATTGTTGTTCAGCAGTGGTAGCAGCAGCCATCGTTGCTATCGGTTACTGAGTGTTCACTAAGGCGCCGGGTACGGTGCTGAGCATGATACAGCCACCGGCTCAGTGCCCTTTTTAGAAAACCACAATGCACTCAATACTGGGCAGCCCAGCCCGTCCAATAGTAAACGCTGTCAAACAGAAAGCTTGGATATTAAAGGCCATCACTCAGCATCCAACCCTGCAGGGAGGAGGGGAGGAGGCTGGGGCTCTGCCCAGATCCCGCTGCACCGTTTCTGTATGCCTCCCCAGGTGGGGCGGGGGGCGGGGTGCACCTGCAGCTCTAATTTAGTGGACTACCCCTGAGCTATGGATCCATTTTGCCAGTAGGAACCAGGAATGGAAGGTTTACCTCTTCCTTAGGTGCAAGTGTGTGAAGGCTCAGCCATCTTGCCTCAGGTTGGGACAACCCTGAGATGCAACCTACCCTCCAGAGCTCCCCTGCAGGATCTGGCTGACGCTACCCTCCATGGAACCTTCCCCTGGCTTCCTCTCTCGCCCTGCTTCCCTCACCCCCATACCGGTGTTCCCCAGGGAGCACTTCCTTAATTAGTTACTTGCATGCAGAGCCTCGTCTTGGGGCCTGCTTCTTGGGAACCTCACCAAAGACACTATTTTAAACAATAAGAACAGGTTGAACAGTCATCTCTGGGAAGGAATCTGCAATTACCATCAGCAAAAGTGATAGGGAACCGGAGACCTCTGAACTCAAAGGACCCCGCAAAGGCAACACAGCACAGCATCCAACACAAGTCTCTGTTGAGGGGAGGGGCACTGATCGAGTCCTTGTGGTGCACAGACTCTGATGTACAACGTCCAGAATGTGATGCCATTCTGAGGTTTACCAGATGACTGGCTGGCGTTGCTCCAATTTGCCTATTAATCCAGTGGAAGGAGGGTGAGATGCCTGCTGGGGCTGCAGAGCAGGCTTGCTGCTGGGAATCAGGTTTTCCATCCCAATTCCTGTTGGGAATCTTCCAATGAAAGGTACGCATGAGAAAATAGTTATAGTTCTTTAGCCCATTAACGTCAAACTTGACTCCAGGCAAGACAGTCGTGAAAGTTGCCTTGGGGGTCCGGCCACAATCACAGTTTATATGCAGAGCCGCAAGCTTGGTGGATTCATGACACGAGGTTTCTTCCCATGATTTGATCGGCAAGTCTGTTGTCACAGCAAGTTCCAAAGAACAGTAAGATTTTTATCCTTTAAAATTTGTACGAATGTACATGTGTTTCCAGGCCAGATATCAGTGCTTGAGTGAATTATATAACTATTTAATAGAAATAATAAAACATCGATACAAATATAAAGACATAATCAGTATAAAAGGCTTATATTTATAAAAATACTTTTAGGTAACAGTTTTCCCCTGAGGGTTGGCCATGCACGTTGCATCCATAAATATTGCTCGGCTCTGTAGCTTGCTTTCCAAAGTTCAGAGTTCATCTTTAAAAAGGAAGTGGTGGGCTCCAGTCACGTGACCTGGCCGAAGTGGCAGCCTCCGGTTGGCACCTGGGCTGGATAGAATGAAGACGAGAACAGCATCAGTGGGGCCTCCGAAAAATCTGGAGAACATTCTTTCTTCCAAATATGGAAGATACAAAGGTCAAGGATGACAGGTGACATGAGTGGGTCATGTGACTGGTGGGGCAGGTCACTGGTTTTTCTGGACCCAGTCCCAATTGTCTTCGTTCTCTTTCCGGTTCTTCTCGGCTTCAATAATTTCTTTGTACCTTCGGCGAAAGAAGCCCATCTGAAAGGCAGACAGAAGAGAAGCCGGGTTAGAGAAGCTGAGGAATCAGCCATTTGGACTGTAAGGCGGCCTGGCTAAGGAGAGGCGTGACCTGGCCGAGGAGAGGCATGACCTGGCTGAGGAGAGGCATTACGAGGGCGAGGAGTGGCATGACCTGGCCAAGGAGTAGTATGACCTGGCCAAGGAGTGGCATGACCTGGCTGAGGAGAGGCATGAACAGGCCGAGGAGAGGCATGACCTGGCCAAGGAGTAGTATGACCTGGCCAAGGAGTGGCATGACCTGGCTGAGGAGAGGCATGAACAGGCCGAGGAGAGGCATGACCTGGCCAAGGAGAGGCATGAACAGGCTGAGGAGAGGCATGACGAGGGCGAGGAGTGGCATGACCAGGCTTAGGAGAGGCATGACAAGGGCGAGGAGAGGCATGACCTGGCCGAGGAGTGGCATGACGAGGGCGAGGAGAGGCATGACCTGGCCGAGGAGTGGCATGAACAGGCCGAGGAGAGGCATGAACAGGCCGAGGAGAGGCATGACCAGGCTGAGGAGTGGCATGAACAGGCTGAGGAGAGGCATGACCTGGCTGAGGAGAGGCATGAACAGGCCGAGGAGAGGCATGACCTGGCCGAGGAGTGGCATGACCTGGCTGAGGAGAGGCATGAACAGGCCGAGGAGTGGCATGACCTGGCCGAGAGGCATGACCAGGCTGAGGAGAGGCATGACGAGGGCGAGGAGTGGCATGACCTGGCCGAGGAGTGGCATGACCTGGCTGAGGAGAGGCATGAACAGGCCGAGGAGTGGCATGAACAGGCCGAGGAGTGGCATGACCTGGCCGAGAGGCATGACCAGGCTGAGGAGAGGCATGACGAGGGCGAGGAGTGGCATGACCTGGCCAAGGAGTGGCATGACTTGGCCGAGGAGAGGCATGACCTGGCCGAGGAGAGGCATGACCTGGCCGAGGAGTGGCATGACCTGGCCGAGAGGCATGACCAGGCTGAGGAGAGGCATGACGAGGGCGAGGAGTGGCATGACCTGGCCGAGGAGTGGCATGACCTGGCTGAGGAGAGGCATGACCTGGCCGAGGAGAGGCATGACCTGGCCGAGGAGTGGCATGACCAGGGCGAGGAGAAGCACGACCTGGCTGAGGAGTGGCATGACCTGGCCGAGGAGAGGCATGACCTGGCCGAGGAGAGGCATGACCTGGCCGAGGAGTGGCATGACCAGGCCGAGGAGTGGCATGACGAGGGCGAGGAGAGGCATGACCTGGCCAAGGAGTAGTATGACCTGGCCAAGGAGAGGCATGACCTAACTGAGGAGAGGCATGACCTGGCCGAGGAGAGGCATGACTGGGACTCAGTGCCAGGAAGGCTGGCTGGGAAAACATCTCTGATTCGACTGCTTTAGACAGAGCCTTATGCGGAGCCACTTTTCACAATGCATGGACTTCCCCAGGCTATCTCATGACTGCTCCTTGTAAAGGGCTTCTGGTGGAGTGTTTCCCAAACTGTATTCCAGCGAACACTAGTTACAGAGAGTTATTCCAAGGTGTTTGGGAGTAACATGGGTCTCATGGTCAAATGAGTTTGGGAAACACTGCATTCTTTCTTTCTTAAAGAGATTTGCAATGTACACAGCAGTAAAGGATCTAATACATCTTTAGGAAAGGATATAAGAAACCCCAGGGCTTGGCATTTCCTAAGCTTATTTGGTTTTGATAAACTTATTCATATCCTGAGAGATACTAGCCACCGTGGACTAATTGAATAATTGCTGCTCTCCCATAATAGGCTTTGGGAAGTGTCTTCGGGTCTGTAGTCGAGCCCTAGGTCTTTCTCTGATACCTGTGCACGTGCCACAGCCAGGAGCCTGGCATCTGTTCCTGACCGGACGGCAGTTTCCTTTACCCCGGTTCAGAAAAGACCTCCCCCTCTCGGGTCTTCTGGCTCTTCACACGGGGTGAGATGAATTTTTGTTTTGCCCAGTCATTACAGGCACTCTACTGCCCGATATTTAAGCAACTTTCTGTAGCCCAGGGTGACCCGGCGTCTCTTGTCCTTTGCTTACCAGCATCAGTGGCATATGTTCCTGAGGTCAGATGTCCCTCCTTGCACCTGCCTGGAGGCATGGCTGCCCGGACTGGGGGTACTCCAGCTCCCTCTCTCTTTGGGGTGACATCCCTGAGGTGCCCGTCCCGCACTTTCCCAGTGGAACGTGCCCGCAGTGCTAAGCAGCTTGAATGCCTCCTTGATTGGCTTCCTTCTCTTCCCTGCCTTGTTTCCCTGCTCTGAGCCGTGTTCCCTGAGATCACCTTCCAAGTAAATGGCCTCCCTCAAATCCTCCGTTCAATCCCCTTGAATAGAGGATTGAGACCCACACATGGTCTGCTGCATGGCAGGTGTGTGATGCCACACTGCCGTTAGCTTACAGTCCCGTAGTCCTATTTGAAAATGCTCAAGACTCGCCATCTCTACCGCCTGCTGCCAGAGGGAATGCCCAGATGAACCTGCCCTGCGCAGATCACCAAGCAAACCCGCTCTCCCGGCACAGCTAACCCTCTGCTGTCTGCTCAGTGGTCTTCACGCTGCTCTACAAGACAAGCATCCACAGTCACCTGCCGGTGTGAGCTCCCTGAGCAAGGGAGGCAATGGAGTCAGGAACTCCCTTGAGCTACCACCTTCCTACCCCCACCCCCCAAGGGGGCTCACTGGTCGAGCCGAAGTAGAGAACCATCAAGAGAGCTGCCCAGGAAACGACTCCACCCACATGGCCAAGGCCATCCCGAGCTCTCACTCTGAGTGAAGTCAATGGAGTGGTGCTGTTTGAATGACTGGGGCGGACTAGAAGCTTCCTTACAACTGGCAAGGGTCAAGTGTTGTGAGTTCCAGTCCTCGTGGCCAGGGTTGCAAGCAGACATGGAGTTCCTCATGTTTTCAGCCCTTAGGTCTCTTCTACGCAGCGTCAGACCACCTCTGTGGGAACCCCACTTTCTGACAACCCCACAAATGCACTTTTCTCTCCCCAAGTCCCCATGGCTGTCTCCCCTCTGCAAGGGATGTGGAAAAGGGGCTTGGCCTGAAAGTTCTGGATAAATAGGAAAAGGTCCTCATCACTGCCCTCGAAGCACACCCACAGAAAAGCAACCCAAGTTTGAATGGAAATGTCTGCCTGGGAAGTTACTGCTTGAGCGATCATTATTGAAAGAAAGATGGTCGATGGGGGAAAATGTCATGCGCCCCTTCTTTGCTGAAGAGAATATAATCATGCCAATAGGGCTGGATATAATATAGAAATGAGGTTCTTTAGCATGTAGCTCTGCCTGCCGATGGGGTCATGGTTCAGTAATCCCGGGTTACTCACCCTCATTTCCAGACAAGTAACCTATCTCTACCGTGGCCCTAATCAAGCTGAATTTCAACGGTCTGCTCCCTTCTCATTTTGCTTTTGACTTAGAACTCCTTGAAGGCAGGACGCTGGCTTTCCACCCCCCAGAGCTCTGCATCTCATCTGTACTCGGCATCAGTGAGACTCTGCAGAGGTGCCCACCATCCTCCACTCCCCTGTATCCCTGCCCTGTGCCACGTGATTCTGCAGCAATTCCCATCAGGCAGGTGGAGTCTGCTTCCCACACCTGCAATCTGCACTGTGACTTGCTTTGACAACTGGATGTGATGGAGGAGATGCTCTGTCAGGTCCACGCTTGGGCCTCACGTGGCCTTGCACGCGTCTGCTCACTTTCCCGGAGTCCTGCTGGGCCATGAGATTGAGTATGGACTGGCCTGCTGAAAGATGAGCATCCACCCAGCTGGGGACCGCCTACACCCATGGCCGGCAAACTGTGGCTCGGGAGCCACATGCGGCTTTTTGGCCCCTTGAGTGTGGCTCTTCCTAAGCCTTAGGAGTACCCTAATTAAGTTAATAACAATGTACCTACCTATATAGTTTAAGTTTAAAAAATTTGGCTCTCAAAAGAAATTTCAATCGTTGTACTGTTGATATTTGGCTCTGTTGACTAATGAGTTTGCCGACCACTGGCCTACACCAACTACCCCCACTGCCTGCAGAAGTGGGTGTGAGTCCAGCTGAGCCTGGAGGGCCACCCTGTTAAACTCAGTCCAACTCACGGACTTGGGAGCTATATAGATGGTTGTTGCTTTTAAGCCACTACCAGGGGTGGGGAACGTCCGGCCCGTGGGCTGTATAAGGCCCAAGAAATCATTTGGTCTGACCCTGCCAAGGCATTAGGGGTGAGTTAGTCCAAATGTAGCAGGCCAATTTAACCTAATATATATTTTTTATTGATTTCAGAGATGAAGGGAGAGGGAGAGAGAGAGATAGAAACATCAATGATGAGAGAGAATCATTGATAGGCTGCCCCCTGCCCACCCCAGGGATTGAGCTCTCAACCTGGGCATGTGCCCTGACCGGGAATTGAACCTGGACCTCCTGGTTCATAGATTGACACTCAATCACTGAACCATGCCGGCTGGGCAGCAGGCTAATTTTTAAATTGATAATTCTGTGCGGCCCGAGAATGATATTATACATATCCAAATGGCCCTTGGCAGAAAAAAAGGTTCCCCACCCCTGCCTAGACTTTGGGGTGGTTTGTTACGCAGCATGCGTTAACTGACACAGCACTCCACGTGTTCTGTCTGACTTAATGAATGAACAGCCCCAGGAAGGGTGGCAGAGAGGCAGCTGACGGGGTTCAGATAGAAAGAGCATCACTGTGCCTTGTCCTGCCAGAACAGACCCTCCTTGTCCCTCTCTAAGAAGGACAAAGGTTGCCACTTTCTCAGAGCTATGCTAGCGTGAAGATCTGACGCAGAGTGAACAAACAATCTAGCAAGGATTTAGAGCGCCTGGACTGACTCACACGTGTACTCAAGTTTCATGGGTGTCACATTTGTTGCCTAAGTGTGAAGGTGCTGTCGTCTCCTGCAGGCACCCAGAAGCAAGCTCTTTTCTTCCCAAAGGACGGGCGTCAGCATTAGCCCTAACGCCG